TTGGAAGGTTTGCGGACGGTACACCGTGCTTTTTTTGACTCAAAAGGTAATGATGTTTCTAAGATTCCTTCTTCTTTAAATGAAATTTGTCTTTCTATCAATTCATTCAGTAAAAACATGGCAAATAATTCAACGCTGCATTTCTCATATCAAAGAGCATTATAGAGCCATCAGGGGAAAAAAATTTTAATAAATGAATCTTTCTTTTCCAAATGCCACTATAGCTTCTTTTCATCATTTTGAATTGATTTATTCTTTGTTGACTAGATGACACAAAGCATTTTATGCATTCCAAGGCTCAAACCTTCAAAAAAAGACCTCATTGGAAATTTTTATTAATCTCATTATATTAAATGCAAATGCCTTTTTTGCCTATGATTTCAAAAGCCTGTTCAGCCATGGCAGCCACACAGGAACTGGAAGTGAAGATGGAGTGTGAGGAGCAGCCTGAAGTAGAAGTTGAACAAAAAGTTGGTTCACTTACATAATTAAGGTTTGCTGGATTACGCCTCACAATGGTAAAATGATTTTTTTTGATTAATGTGTGATTGGTAAGCGTATAGGCGCATTATCCTGGATTCCTTCGATCTGTTGTGTTTAAGTAAAGTTTTTTGTTATTGATGATGCCGGTTTTCCTTCTTTGAGACATTGAAGCTTCCGAGTAGAGAACTATTTAAGCAGTGGCTTCAACCATGGACTAGATCCATTTCAAAATTGTAAATTGTGAGTACTAGAGGTAGTGAAGCATTGCGTTGCAGAGAGAAATGCGGAAGTAGACTAAAAAGACACGCATTTTTTGCATAAAGTTTGACGTTTCATGCTATTTTTAAATCAGATAAATTGATAGTTGCCCGAGAGGGCGGGGCCTAAAGACGATGATCAGCATTCTACCAAAGCTCTTTTTTCCGACATATCTAGCTTATCTTTCGGTATTTAGCCTCCTATCGCTCAAACAGCGGAACAGGTCGACATCAAGCCAGTCATAGCCTCTGCTGATGTCCTTACTGAGTCTGGTATTGAAGGCCATGTACACCTTGGTGATGCCGGTCTAGAAGACGAAGATGAGGAAATGGAGGATGAAGGTAATGAATCTGAAGGAGACGAGGTGGGTGCTAGACATCTGCGATCCGCCTCAGTTCTTCTCAATTTTACACTTACATTGTAGGTGGAAAGTATAGTGGATATTAAAATTCAAAACGGTATCTTCAAATATCGTGTACGATGGGTAGGCTGCAAGCCAAGTGAGGATACTTGGGAGCCGGAAGAGAGCTTCACAGGTTTCTCTTGTTTTTTGGTCTCCTCGTGCAGTAAACATTTGGCTTGTTCTCCTATTTTCCTCTGGCCATCCGTTTAAATTTTGTTTACTAACTATTCACTGGTTTAGGGTCAGAAAGCAAAGCACTACTGGAGGAATATCGCGAAGTTCACAAGGATAAGGTGGAGGAGCTGTTGAAGAACGAAAGTAAGTTGATTACTTTTATCACTATGTCCTTCTTGGTGATGATAGCAAAAGCAAGTATGTGCTACCCGTGCTAAAAGACGAAGTCAAAAATTTTGTTATATTTATGTCTCATACCTTATACTGCCATAGCACTCTGAAATGTGGTTCATTTACCTCTGATCTCTTCTATGAATTTTTAGTCAATTCAGAAAACAAAAAAACGAGAAGAACGAAACGTGGTCCAAGATGGGAGTATGTGTCGGAAATTGTCACAAGAGAGGTTCGGTCCTCTTTGACGCTAAGCTACATTTTTTGCACTAAGCGTTTCAACTTTGTTTATTTTATTTTTTAGCGAATTTTAGGATAAAACTGCTCTTAAACCGCGCGAGCTGCAGTCGGATGATGTATTTTATGGTCAAACTGCAGCCGAAGTAGCAGCAGCATCCGGTGAATTGAAAAAGTTATTTGATCCTACGCATAAGAACACTGCAACAGAATTGGTAAGAACTAGATCCGCTTACCACATTTCAAAATTTTTTTCTTATTTTTTGTTCTTTATTATCGCTTTAGTTCCTTTCCGCTACTGATCCAGCAGTGAAAGTGACACGTAGCCAAACTAAAGCTCTCATTGGCTCACGAGAAACGTCTAGGTCTAACACCCCAATCTCGACAAAGCTGCTCACTGCAGAAGTAAGTTGTGCCATCAACTTCGATACATGCTCACACTCAATTGTTTTTTGTAGGATACTAGTCGAGGGTCTGTAAGTCCTACTCCACCTCCACAACCAGCCAAAGGGCGTCAGAGAAAAGCTAAGACACCTAGCAAAAGAACCACTAAGCGAAAAGCGGTGAAGGATGAGGTAGGTTGTTCAACATAGTTTGTGAAAATAAATTAGTGAAGAAATGGGCTTTTTG